CTTTTGACAGTTAATAGGCAGGTAAAGTTCTATTTTTCAATCAATTTGTACAGTTTTTCCAAAAAATAAAATTCAAATTTCGTTTGGTGGAGAGTGGTGCTGAATGATGACCAATGATGTTTGAAAAAGTGACTCAAGGAAAGCAGGACTTTTTTCTGGACATAGAGTGAGCTATGCATGTGTTTTTGCTAGTGATGATAACTCTGTTAATTCCTTAATCAAGTAATTGACAGGTATGTCAGTGATAGTTAAGGATGTTGTGGACGATGTATGAATATATGATTGGCAAAGCGGTTCTTTGCCTGAGAGGCTACATCCCAGCCATGCCACTTAATGTACAACGCTTATGAGACACTAGTGGTTGAAGATGGAATTCTGACTATTTCAGTATGGCTGAACTGACTGACAAGCTTCAGTACATCAGGCTGTGGTCAAAATAGAGATTTCACCTACGAAGAGGGTATATTATTTTCTAATATGGAATTTTCTGGTAACTATTTGACAGTTTTTCACAGTTAAATTTACTTTTAGTTCTGAAAGAATCTTAGGGAAGGCCAGTTTTGATTCAGTAGAAAAGGAGTTAATTGAAGACAGTGCTGACAGAATGACAGCACTGCTGCTTGTACTGCTTTTCTAAATATTTCTTTCAGAGTACCAACATTGTTATCTGCAGGAGTAACATAGTAGGCTTTCTGTTTCTGCAAATGCAGTACTATGTTGCATGGAAATGGATTGTCAGAAGAGTAAGTAGTGACAAGTGCAGTAGAAGAAATCCATGCATATCTACCTTTACTTATATGCGTCTGGGTGTGCTTTTGCTTAATGTAAACCCAGAATATACACAGATCCAGAAAAACCTAACACCAGGTTACACAGCTGCCAACAGTTACTATAATTATGTCAGTGTTATGAAATTACACTGAAGAAATTATGATTCTTTCATAGCAGTCTCTGATTTTTGGCTTCTTATCCACTGTAGCTTAGTGAAAGGTTAACATACCATTGCAGATGGCATTTTTAAACAATCACAGAATCACAGAATCATTAAGGTTGGAAAAGACCTTTAAGATCATCAAGGCCAACATCAACCCAACACCACCATGCCCACTAAACCATGTCCCGAAGTGCCACGTCCACACGTTTTTTGAACACTTCCCGTGATGCTGACTCCACCACCTCCCTGGGCAGCCTGTTCCAATGCTTGACCACTCTCTCAGTACAGACATTTTTCCTAATATCCAAACTAAACCTCCCCTGGCACAACTTAGAGGCTCATCCTATCACTAGTTAGTTGGGAGAAGAGACCAACACCCACCTCACCACAACCCCCTTTCAGGTAGTTGTAGAAAGTGATAAGGTCTCCCCTCAGCCCCCTCTTCTCCAGACTAAACAACCCCAGTTCCCTCAGATGCTCCTCGTAAGACTTGTGCTCCAGACCCTTCACCAGCTTCCTTGCCTTTCCTTGGACACGCTCCAGCACCTCAGTGTCCTTCTTGTAATGAGGGGCCCAAAATGTCTCAGAACAAAAAAGAAACAGGTGGTTCTGAGAGTTATGTTTCCATAGTCTTATGAGATTCAGAAATAGAATGGAATAGAATAGAATAAATAGACTCTTTCAGTTGGAAGGGACCTACAAATATCATCTGGTCCAACTGCCTGACCAGTTCAGGGCTGACAAAGTTAAAGCATTCATGGCAGTTACACCAGGTGGTGGATAGCCCCACCTCTGTCACACTGTCACCTTCACAGCAGCAATGCTCACTTCACTTGAGGATTGAGAACAAGTCTAGGTAATGAATAGCACTGTGCTGATGGGCTGGCAACTGTTGCAGCACACCAGACTACATAAAAAATATTTTTTAATCAGTTTGTGATGTAAGTGAACAGAGAGATGTTTCTTGTTCTAAGTAAGACTATTTTATTTTTTTTTCTTTGTTGGGTGCTTTTAGTGTTCAGGGGCTGTTGAGGTTTTTAACCATAGAATTGCTTTTATCAACTTAAAGGGTTATCATTGAATTGGCTAGAAATCCAATCAACTTGACAAATCCCTGAGTGGTAATGCTAGTTTTTCTTTGATTAAAGAGAGTGATGAAATCTTGATGAGCTTTAAATTTGGTCTGATACCACATTCCATGTAGGTACTATAAATGATTTTGAAAAAGAGGGGCAATCTTTTCTTACAGAGGCTATATTTATCCTTAAGATTTCCGATTGTACACAGCTGGACATAAATCATCAAGACATGCATAATGCATGTACAGAGTTAATTTAAACAATGCATGGAGCACACTGGTTTCCTTTAGTCTGTTTTCTCAGCAGTAAATCTTTTCTTCCAAATACACACTGAATGCTCTCGGGCAGCTTGTTTTGCGTAACATTACAGCAAAATGAAGTGGAGTTGAATATGGGTGCCTAAAGAGCCTTGGTTTTGGTGCCACAGAGGTCAGGTGTCCTCTGTTCTCGTGCTGTTAGCGTGAGTAGGAAGCTAACTGTATCTACACGGTGGTGAATGAAGAGCAATGCTGTGATGGATGTATGTGAAGATCTTCTTGGAGGGAGTGTTGACAGTCTGCAAAAAGAGCGTGAAGTTGTATTTGAGATCATAATTTGCGTGCAAGCTATGTTAAGAAAGAGCATGGTGATCAGTATAGTTCTTCCAATAAAAATTTCAGTGCATAGGGCAAAAGTCTGTTGATCAAGACAATGTTCTCTAAAAAAATCTGTAGCCATGTTGTTTCTTCTCCAGAATATGCTGCGTCTCAGCTACAGGACTTAAAAAGTATAGTTGTATTAGCATGGGCTACATAGTGCAGACGAGCTCCAAACGTATATCAGGGAAAGAGAAACAAAACACACACATACAGCAGTGAAGGAGAAGGGAAACAGGATAAAAGAGGTAGCAGATTAACAGACTAGTCAAACATGACACAAAAAGGAAAACAAAAATGAGTATTTTTTTGACGAGAACAAGTAGCTCAGATTAACTAACTAAATTACTCCCCCCCACACAAATCCCCGAAAACTCAAACATATATAGATACAGCAAAAGATACACAGGGAAAGATTTTGTTCCCCATGAAATACAGGGCATTAAAAAAACTTTGTGGCATGGTTCAATACCCCACTCCATTTTTCAAAGCAGCACGTTTCTTATCAAAAAGATTAGGGAGAGAATCATTCCTTTGGCTTATAATTACAGTTGACAATAAAATAAATTTGACTAATAGTACTCATGATTAAATTGTCAAATGACAGTGGCCTGTATAGCTTATTGAAGTAAGGAGAATGAGTATCTTCTCAACAATTACAATTAACTGGAGACCAAATTGCATGTTGTGATTACAAAATACAGACAAAAAATAAGAATAGCACAGAAGTTTACTGGATAAATAATCATAGAACCAATAACTAATTAGGGAGGGGCATAAGGCACTTTAATGAGTAAAATGTCCTAAATAACTCACTTTTTCTGAAGTATTTCTGTAGTCCCCAATCCACGTCAAAAGATACATAGCAGTTATAGATAGCAGTAATGTTGTTACTATAATCATAATGATTTGAGGCCTGTGTGAGAGAAGATTTTAAATGAGAAGTAGTATCATTCATTAAACTAACTGAACTGTGGAGAAGCTTTTGGGCATAGAAGGTCATCTTCATATCAGTTTTAAAATACCCAATTTCTATTTTGGGTTTTTTTAAGAGTTCACGTGTGTTTGCTTTTTAAAAAAGCAGCTATGAAGAGAAACAGATAAAATAATAAGTCTGTCTGAAGCTTTTATCATTTCTGTACATGTAGCCTTTAGCTTTACGTAGTTTAGCTTGAATTTTCACTTGAATCTGAAAATGAACAGGCAGAATCTATGGAAACTCCACAATATAACGTGCTTTCATTGGCTACTTGATGCTTGCCTTTAATTAGTATGAGGAATATGCTGTATTTATGGTATTTTGTTTGTTTTGGTTTTTTTCCCCATTATTTACTATCTTGAACTAAATTAATTCTATATTATACTATTTCTCTGATTATTAGATGTCCAAGACTGTAATTGTTTGAATAAGAACACTCATTCTGAAGACTGTAAGGTATTAATGTATATGACGGCTCCCTGTTTGAGGTTGCTCAAAATATCTTTACATTGGTTAACACCATAGCTAAATTAGTTGGAAACTGTAAAGGAATATTATCTGTGATGGTTGGTGCAGAACTAAAACCCCTGTGAGCTGTTTGGATTTTGTCTGAGCATGGGAAAAATGGGGATGTGTCTGCTAAATGTCCTTCCTAGCAGAACATGTAAGCTTTCAAATAACAAATTTTTAAAAAGGCATAACACACACACACAGAGTCTTCTCTATGGCCCACTGATTTTCTGTTTCTCTTTCTGGGATTGCATAATGGTTAAAATACTATTAATTAGAAATTAGGTGTAGTTAGTACCTAGGTGGCACCCAAGAAAGGACTAAAGAGATGCAAGAGAGGTATATAGTACACTGTGTTGTTCGTGAAAGGATTTGCCACTGAAAATGCTGCTGTTTGTTTATTTGAGGCCTTGTGGTGGGTTGACCTTGGCTAGACGCCAGGTGCCCACCAAAGTTGCTCTATCACTCCCCCTCCTCAGCTGGACAGAGGAGAGGAAAATGTAGTGAGAAGCTTATGAGTTGAGGTAAGGACAGGGAGAGATCATTCAGCAGTTATTGTCATGGGCAAAACAGACTAAACTTGGGGAAATCAGTTTAATTTATCGCCAATCAAATCAGAGTAGGATAATGAGAAATAAGACCAAATCTTAAACACCTTTCCCCCACCCCTTCCTTCTTCCTGGGCTCAACTTTGCTCCCCATTTCTCTACCACCTCCCCCCAAGCGGTGCAGGGGGACAGGGAATGGGGGTTGTGGTCAGTTCATCACACGTTGTCTCTGCCGCTCCTTCCTCCTAAAGGGAAGGACTCCTCACACTCTGCCCTTGCTCCAGTGTGGGGTCCCTCCCACGGGAGACTGTCCTCCATGAACTTCTCCAATGTGAGTCCTTCCCACAGGCTGCAGTTCTTCACAAACTGCTCCAGCCTGGGTCCTTTCCATGGGGTGCCGTCCTTCAGGAACAGACTGCTCCAGTGTGGGTCCCCCACAGGGTCACAAGTCCTGCCAGCAAACCTGCTCCGGAGTGGGCACCTCTCTCCATGGGCCCACAGGTCCTGCCAGGATCCTGCTCCAGCGTGGGCTTCCCACAGGATCACAGCCTCCTTCAGGTGTGGGGTCCTCCCCGGGCTGCAGGTGGATACCTGCTCCAGTGTGGAGCTCCATGGGCTGCAGCGGCACAGCCGGCCTCACGGTGGTCTTCACCACAGGCTGCAGGGGATCTCTGCTCTGGTGCCTGGAGCACCTCTCCCCCTCCTTCCTCACTGACCTGGGGTCTGCAGAGCTGTTTTCATATATTCTCTCTGGCTGCAAGTGCTGTGTGCCATTTTTTTTCCCCTCTACCAAAACCTTGCCAAGCAAATCCAATACAGGCCTTCTTAGCCAGGTAATGTAATTTTGAAACTTACCTTTCATAAAAGCTACCTTGTAAATTTTAGGATACTAACTTCTTGTGGTCCTATTTACAATGTATGCTTTGGCTTAAGGGAAGGCCTTGGGGAGTTCTGTTCATTTTTTAAGGGCTTTTTCTTACATAGCTTATGTTCATCTTTTTAGGACTGAAACAGACATTAGAAGCCACAGTGGGACTGTCTGTGTAGGCCTGGGCATTTATGGGACTTTGTTCCTGCACTCTGTGCTGTATTCCTGAAGCCATAAGACTGTAGGAGACTTTGTCTGTGCTTATAAGACCATCAGACAGTGGATTTTCAGGTTAAGGTATTGGCAGAGCTTAGTGTGTGATTGTCTGCATGATGGTGTAGTTATGCCTTCAAATGAATCGACTGCAAGCAGAAATATGAACACACGAAATCATTCAGCTGTTGAACAGAGGAAACTGAAATTACGGTTCAGCGCAGAAGTGGCATGAATAATCCTCTTCCCTGTCTCATATGTTTGGCCAGCTTATGATGGAGATCAGTTTCTTTTCTATCTTGAAAAGTATTCCTATACTCTACTATAACATGTTCATAGACACTTCACTTCAGGAAAAGAGAAACCTAAAAAGTGCTTTGAAAGACAAAAGTTTGGTTGGAGACTCACATTAGAAAAAAAAAAAAAAAAAGAAGAGCTTTATATTATCTCCTTATTTGTCTGGAGGCATTTCACAAGAAATAGGTCAGAATCTGGAGTTCCAGAGGTGATACTAGTTAAGAATAATGTTCTGTTCAGCGGTAGACAAACACAAGAAAGGGGATGATATGAAAATTTGAAAGTATATAAAATGTAACAAAAGTTTACCTGTTGTTCACTGTTCTGAAGTATTCTGTCTGTCACAGAGCTCCTATTTGTATAAAGCTAAAAGGAAAACAAAAATTCCCTTTGTTTTCCATCAGTTTGATAGCTCTCAGGAGTTATGACTTGTTAATTTTCACTTCATAATGAATAATGCCTTTTGATTATAAAATATAACTGAAAAAAAATCACGTAGAAAACAGTGTTGTAATAGCATGTAAATAATTGGATAGGGACTATCGTTAGATCATTTTAGCACAGCATTACTTGGTTTCCTGAGCTCTTGCTGTACATGTTTGTACTAGTCAATGAAAAGGAAAATGCGACAGTTAGCCCAAGGGTTTTGTTGTTCAGTATAAGTCTTAATATTTGTTTGTCAGTTGATCCAATGTATTAGTCACCGGGGTTTCAGCTGAAATCTAAAGAGAACAAACACCACATTGGGAGTCTAATGAAGGAATAATACTTCCTTTTAAAAAAAAAATATATATATGTATTATATATGTTTTTCTGCAGCTTTCAGAACAAAAGGGCTGATCTCTTCCTTTAAAATGTGTCTTGTGGTCTCAGAAGAAATACCTCCTTTATGTTGGTTTAGTTAGTTTTCTTTTCCTTTTCCCAAAATTGTTAACTTCATTGACATTTGTGATAATCACGTTTTAAAGATGCTGACGTTTAAAGTTGATCCTTCTTCTTTTCAGCTTCTGTAACTAAATTCAGTTTAAAATTCCTTTCACCTGTTTTTCTTTCCAGTAGTCACTGGTATTTAACTATTACATTTAGAATATAATAGGCTTCTGTTTCTGTTCTAAAACTTAGTGTTTAAAGAGATAGAGGAAAGAAACAGTATTTACCTTTTTGATTAATTGAAATGAAAGAGTACATTGGAAATAAAGCTTAGCAATGTCGGATATTTATTCCTGATCTTTTTTATGATTGCTTGGAGAATTTATGTTGTACTGCCTCAGATTGTTATTGCATGTGTACCTCATTAGGAGTGTGTCCGTATGCTGGAAAAACAGATTCTTGTTTCTTTTGATCTTTCTTTATTTTTTTGTTTTTAATCAGAAATGCTCAAAGAAAAAGAATAAAAAAAAGAACTTGCTGCATGTAGCTAAGCTTTCAGTAGGAAGGGTGGAGGATGGTCCCAGGAAGCCTAGCATACGGGTCCCTCTGTGACGAGTGGGCCTCAATCCCTTACATGATAGCTACAAGTAAGTTAGAAGTTAGTGAGTTCACAGGAATTTTCACCATATTTCTTCATAGCCATTGAGTTTTTAATTGGTCATTTTTGATGTAACTGAAGTCTTCATTTGATTGAAAAATCTGTGTAGCTATAGGGGAGTATAATGACGAAGTATATGCCAAGGGAAGTTTCTTACAGACCTTTAGAGCAGCTCCTCACTTCCTCTTGTGCTGACGTTTTCTGTACAAAAAGCACAAGAAAGGTACTAAGAATATTACCTTTCTAATAAAGAATTATATGCTGAATTAGTACAATAATTGTGTCAGTAATTTGATGTGGTGGCAAAGTGTCTAGAGCTATATTTGAGGTAATTAATGCAAACAAAAGTGGATTTTGTTGACCTTCAGCTTTTACAAAGAAATAACAAACCTGGAATGAAAATATTTTTCATCTGCTACTGTCTTGAGCTTGTGAAGTTAGGCTAGCTATTCTTCCACATGCAATTTAATTTTTTCCCCTTGCAATTTTTTTTTAATCTATTTTGCTATGTTTACACATATTCAAATAATACATTTTAATGGCATATTTTTATTAAAGTGTATTTTCTGAGTAAGTAAACGTTTGCTCTCTGGAGCTATTAGGGACAGCTGCATTTTAGCTCCTTCGTAGTGAGGGAAGCCAAAAAGAGAAAGTAAACACACACACACATTTACACACCGAAATCATGACATGTGCTGGGGGAATGTAAAAGAAAACCCTGAAGAAATAACCTTTCTGCAACAGTCCTTTTCTGTGGCTAACTACCTCCAATAGAAACATAGGATAAACATACCCTGTGACAGATGAACTGAAGCTGTGATGCAGTGGGACTGAAGAAAATTAGGTATTTGAAAAGAGCACAACTTTAGAGAAAACTAGCTATATCATAGCAAGAGCATAGGAGATAGGAAAAGTCTTCTTACTTGTGTAATCCTTAGACTTCTTTATAGTACTACACACACTATATGCTAGCCTTGCTAAATGTTGCAGATTATTTATAATAAATTCCTTTGAATGAATGCATTTCATTTTAAAAAAGAAACATTTAGGCTACTGTTTTACATTAAGAGATCTTAGTACTTCCATTAATTTAATACGGACTTACTTCACATGTTTCAGAATGAAGACATAATCTGTATCTGGAATAAAAAGTTAACTTGTATTTAGTATCATATTTCAGTGAGAGGACAAAGTAGCATCATTTGTAGAAAATGTACTTGCTTATTATTAATATAATCATTTAAGGGGGCATAGAAGGGCTTTTAAATGGGTGATACAGTGACATTAGAGGAGGAATAACACTGTTGTTGTTTCTGTCCAACTGTAAATGTAACATCACAGAAGTGCATGTATTTACAGTTTAAAGGCTGTCTTCAAGTAAAAGCGTGGAGCTGGAAATGTCAGTTATTAATTGGTTTATTAGATTCTGGAGAACAGAGAGAAGAAATCTGCAGAGGGCCACATCTACAGGTCATATTTCCAGATAGATGGGTTAATTAATGCACCTATTTATTAATCTACACACTTTATTATCAGTAGTAATTATAACTTCTCAAAGTTGGGCTGTATGCCTATACTTGGGGATAAGATTGTTCTTTATAGACTTGTCAAAATGGAACAGGAAGGCCGGATCACACGGAAAACACAAGAGATGCTGGGGTGGCAAAGGAAAGAATTAAATGGACATGAGGAACGGGAATGTTTTGAGGGAGCACGGACCAGACATAAATATGACAGTGTCCTGGTTTTGGCTGGGATGGAGCTGTTTTTTCTTCCCAACAGCTGGTTTAGTGCTGTGTTTTGGAGTTGGTATGAGAATAATGTTGATGACACACTGAAGTTTTTAGTTGTGGCTAAGTAGTTGTGCTTACATTAAATCGAAGACTTTCCGGCTCCCCAGGCTGTGCCAGCGGGGAGGTGCCCGGGGAGCTGGGAGGGGGCACGGCCGGGACAGCTGGCCCAGGCTGGCCACAGGGACATTCCCCACCGCGTAACCTCGTGCCCAGCGCATCGGCTGGAGGTGGCCGGTGGGCGGGAACCGCTGCTCGGGGACGGGCTATCGATCACGGGGTGGTGAGCAATTGCTGTATTGGGCATCATTTGTTCTTGTACATTCTTTTGTCAGTATTATTATTGTTACCATTGTTGTTTCCTTCTCTCTTGCTGTCCTATTAAACTGTTTTTTTCTCAACCCATGAGTTTTTTCCAATTCCCTCCCCCCATCCCACTGTGGAGGGGGGGAGTGAGCGAGCGGCTGTGAGGTGCTTAGTTGCCGGCTGGGGCTAAACCACGACAGACAGTGAATCAGGAGGAAGGGAATAAGATTACTTTAATATAACCAGGCATGAAAAATAGGATAAGAATTCATGCAGTTGGAAGATGAAAACAAACAATTGTTCTCAAGTTGGTTCAAAGGCCCAAAAATCAACTGGAGGATTATCTACCTGAAACTAATATCCTGTGTCCAACACAGTTTGGACTCATGCCAAAAAGCAGAGCTGAACTGATATTACAGATAGGAGGGGTTTTCTCTTGTGAACTGGTAAAGACCGATTAGACAGTAGACACTGCTAGTTGTTTTATCTGGGAGAGGTATCCAGCGTTTAGAATGCTGCAGCGAAGAACCATTGAAACCCGTGCACAGGAAACTCAAAACTTACAGTGAATAATGAAGTATGTTTCCCTCTTACACAGACTGCTGTGTTTTCACTGTTCCCTGCATTAACCTTCCCTAGAAAACTGGGTTGGATTGAAGTTTCTATCCATTAGACTTGAGGTGTTCATTACTCTGGGTTCACAGCATCCATAGATAAAACTCTGGTATTAACAACCGTGACTGACAGCTCCCCTCCTCTGCCCAGTGTTACTTGCTTTAGTAATTGCAAAAGACAGAAACTGAGCTCTCTTAGGGGCTGGTTTAAGCCAGTTGGATACCTGCTTCAGAAATTAATACTTCAGTGAAGAGAGTATATTTTTTTGCCTTTTTTTTCCCAGGAGCATAACTCTATGTATAAAAGAAAATGTTTCTCTGTGTGCTTTTCTCTCATTTCTAGAGAGTTTGAAATAATAAATATACATAATGTTGGGGACATTGCGTAATGAGCTTCTAGTGGGTGTAGTTATGCAATAATGTTGAACCCATTTTGGCATAATTTGATGACAGAACAAGTATATACCTTGAGGAATGTTCCATGATTTTTGTGTGGATAAGGAATGTTTCAGATATAGCAAGAATTTTTTTCTACACTAACTGATTGGTTGTTACCTTCAGTAAGATAACATTGTTGAAATACTGTTAAATATATTGTAAGTAGCTATGAATATTAATACATATACCTATATACATGCAAAGATTCAAAAATTTAAATGTATGTATTTATCTTGCAGGGGTTGATAAGCTGATCCGTCATTTACACAAACACAACATACCCATAGCTGTTGCCACCAGCTCAGCTGAAGTGACATTTCAGATGAAAACAGCCAGACACAAAGACTTCTTTGGTCTTTTTCATCATATTGTGTTGGGAGATGACCCCGAGGTGAAGCATGGCAAGCCACAGCCTGATGCATTTCTAGTTTGTGCAAAGAGATTTCACCCTCCTGCACCTCCAGAGAAGGTAAGAAGGGGAGGGAATGAATTAACTGAAAAGTTAAGAATAGTCTGTTTGGCCTATTTTTGGATATATTTTTTTTTTTCAACATGATAAATACTTAGATTAATATTTAATAGAAACATTATAAAATCACCCACCTCTGTTTTCAAAGTTGTTTATGCTGTTGAAGCAAGAGATTGTTGGAAAGCATCATTTCCCCTTGCTATGTATAATGTTTGTAATGCAAATTGCTCTGATTTACTACATGATAGTGTGCAGTAATAGGAAAGTGTAATTATTTTCCGCTATATGCATAAATCTGCAAGCATAACTTCACTACACAAAGTTTGGAAACAGTTATTTAAACATAGATCAGTTTATTTTTCATATATTCATGGCTGATTTACCTCTTATGTGTCTAAACATTAAAGATACTTCTTGGTAAAGAGGGCATCTATTTTTCCTAAGCCATGTCTTTCCTCTTGCATTCTAAATTTCTGAGATCATAATTCCCGTTTTCTGATTTAAAACTGGCCAGTTTGAGCAATCTTTCTCAAATGCTACAGGTGTTTAGTTTCTCTCTCTTACATATCACTTCCCAAAGTTGATTCTGAAATAGAAATCTGGGAGAATATTTGAAAGATAAATAGACAGTTAGTTAAAATAATGCGTTTGCTTTTATTTTAAACTAAATTGCCTTTCTCCTTAAAATATTTTTCTCACTTCATGTCTGTCTTGAGCAGAAGAGTTTTGGAGTTTCATCACTGCATAAAAATGCATTACATACTAATTTTTAAGGAACAATTTTAGGTGGATTAGACTGTGACTACTGTTTTCTCAGTAGGAATATTGAGGAAAAAATGGTTGCACAAATACATGTGGAAGGATTAGCTAAGATTCTTCAGCCTTTCATACTTCAAGTTCTCACCCAGAGTCTAAATGGTATTTGCATTGCCTGGGAATACAAAGTGAAATAAGTTTGATGCAATGTGGCATATTACGAACGTTAACCAAATTGGTTTTGGTTTTCGTTTTTTCTTTTTTTTCCTGTTGCAAGTTGGCATTCTGTATGTGTATATTCTTGACATTCTGTGTATGTGCATCAATTTCATTTGGAAACTTAGATGTTGAGAAAAGATACACCAAATGTTCATGGTCATGTTCATGCAGATGGCTGTTGTATGGACATGTTAGGTACTTCTGTGAGTAGGCCTTGTATGTATGGTACGTTCCAAATGTTCAAGAATCTGAGCAGCACAGCTGTAAAACTCACCTTAGAGTCACATAGTTAAATTTTGAACATGTTAATACTCAGCGGAGAGCAAATATTGGGAAGCAGACTAAGGTTCTGGAGGGATTAAGAGAGGAGTTGAAAACAAGCTTAAACTACAGCTTAATGTTGCTTTCCTACAAAATTATTCTTTCTTGCTTAACTGTAGGTCTAGGGAACAAAAAAATCAGAGTATGTTCCTGTAATGTTGTGTGGTGTAGTTTTTGTGCAACAGGAGGAGGTGTGTAATGCATACTTTTCAGTTGTATGGACATGTGGCTGTAAGCTGTTCTGTAATTCTGAAAGTAAAAGAGCAAAAAGTATTGAAAATTTCTATAAAGCTGGGACATAACTGGTATTGTATCTGAAGGAGAGGTAAGGAAATTGAATCTCAGCTGTGTTAATGACAAATTAAACTATTATTTAATGTGAGGAGCTTAACTAATATCCAGAGGGACAGCTTTCCCAAAACTTTCAGTTTATTTGGCTCTATTTCAGAAAAGTCACAAGATTATCACAAGATAATTGAAAAGGACAAAAACATTTAAAAAACATACAAAAAACAGTGACACTGCCGTAGATATTTTTTCAGCAGTAAGTTGCCTTAGATATGTTAACAACAAAAAAATATTTGAAGATAATAGTACTATCTGTACTACACTTAATTTTAAACTTTAAAGGTATGTTAGACAAACAAAAATTCAGAATGTTCATGGCAGTTTTCTTTAGTTATTTTCTTTAATGTTTCTTTGAAGAAGAGCATAAATGTTTGAACCCATGCTTTTCCTTTATATGAAGTTTAACAGCAGAGTTTCCTTAGTGCAGATAATTCAGCTGAATATTTTTTTGTTGCATCTACAAAAATCACAGATGTTGAAGTGTGGGAATTTAACACAAGCACAGAACTCTCAAGAAGAAGAAAATCAAAACAGTACTTGCAAAACTATCTGAAACATTCATGACCAATTGCAGTGTAGTGATGGCATCTGCAGTCTTTAGTCCCAAGTGGTGAACTACTAGAGCCACAGGTTTGGATTTCATGCTGAAAACCCCAGAGAGGGTCCAGAGGAGGGCCACCAAAATGATCAGAGGGATGGAACACCATTCCTATGAAGAAAGGCTGAGAGAGTTGGGGTTGTTCAGCCTGGAGAAGGCACTGGAGAAGACCTCATTGCAGCCTTTCGGTACTTAAAAAGGGGGCTTGTAAGAAAGATGGGGACGGACTGCAGGGCCTGTTGCTATAGGACAAGGGGTAATGGTTTTAAACTAAAAGAGGGCAGATTCAGACTAGATATAAGGAAGAAATTTTTGACAATGAGGGTAGTGGAACACTGGAACACGTTGCCCAGAGAAGTGGTGGATGCCCCATCCCAGGCAACATTCAAGGTCAGGTTGGACAGGGCTCTGAGCAACTTGATCTAGTTGCAGGTGTCCCTGGTCATTGCAGGGTGGTTGGACTAGATGACCTTTAAAGATCCCTTCCAACCCAAAGATTCTGTGATCCCATGAGTATGCAAGTTTGCAGAAAAATATCAGGAGGTAATAGAATCATAGAATCATTAAGGTTGGAAAAGACCTTTAAAATCATCAAGTCCTAGAGTCAACCCAACACCACAATGCCCATTAAACCATGGCCTGAAGTGCCACATCTACATGTTTTTTGAACACTTCCAGTGATTGTGACTCCACCACCTCCCTGGGCAGCCTGTTCCAATGCTTGACCACTCTCTCCATAAAGAAATTTTTCCTAATATCTAATCTAAACGTCCCCTGGCACAACTTAGAGGCCATTTCCTCTTGTCCTGTCTCCAGAAGAGACTGACACCCACCTCGCTGAAACCTCTGTTCAGGTAGTTGTAGAGAGTGACAAGGTCTCCCCTCAGCCTTCTCTTCTCCAGACTGAACAACCCCAGTTCCCTCAGCTGCTCCTCGTAAGACTTGTTCTCCAGACCCCTCACCAGCTTCGTTGCCCTTCTCTGGACACGCTCCAGCACCTCAACATCCTTCTTGTAGTGAGGGGCCCAAAACTGAACACAGGATTCGAGGTGCGGCCTCACCAGTGCCAAGTACAGGGGCACAATCACTTCCCTACTCCTGCTGGCCACGCTATTTCTGATACAGGCCAGGACGCTGTTGGCTTTCTTGGCCACCTGGGCACACTGCTGGTTTATGTTCAGCCGGCTGTCAACCAGGTTCTTTTCCACCAGGCAGCTCTCCAGCCACTCCTCCCCAAGCCTGTAGCGTTGCATGGGGTTGTTGTGACCCAAGTGCAGGACCCTGCACTTGGCCTTGTTAAACCTCATACAGTTGACCTCTGCCCATCGATCCAGCCTGTCCAGATCCCTCTGCAGAGCCCTCCTGCCCTCCAGCAGATGAACACTCCCACCCAACTATAGGTAATGTCTGCATAAGCAAGAGAAACAGATAATTAGAAAGCAAGAGAAACAGATTATTAGAGCAATGTATTTGGTGCTTGGGCCCATACATCGATGCTTTATGTGATTGGAATATTTTCCATTGAATTAGATATACTCTGATCCCTGGCTGAAAGCTGTATAAGGTTCTTTGGAGCTTTATGTCCACTTAAGCATTGGAGATTGCTTGATATGCACTTGGAGAGGACTGCCACTTTAGCTTCCTGC